ACCTAAAGATTCCACCAAAAAACTACTAGAACTGATAAATGAATTCAGTAAAGTAGCAGGATACAAAATAAATATCTGGAAATCAGTTGCATTTTAATACACCAATAATGAACTATCAGAAAGAGAAACTAAAAAAACTATCCCATTTGCAATTGCATTAAAAGGCCCCCACCTAGGAATAAATTTAACCAAGAATGTAAAAGACCGGTATTCAGAAAATTGTAAGACACTGAAGAAAGAAATTGAAGAAGATACAAGTAAATGGAAGCAAATACCATGTTCATGAATATAAATAATTAATATCATTAAAATGTCCATACTACCCAAAGCAATCTATAGATTCAATACAATTCCTATTAAGATACCAATGGCGTATTTCACAGAACTAGAATAAATATTCCAAAAATTTATGTGGAATCAAAAAAGACCCCAAACAGCAATCTTGAAAAGAAGAACAAAATTGGAGGAGTCATGCTACCTGATATCAAACTCTACTTCAAGGCCATAGCAATTCCACTTCTGGGAATATATCTGAAGAAACCCAAAACACTAATTTCAAAGAATATATGACCTCTATGTTCATTTCAGTGTTATTTACAATAGCCAAGATTTGGAAGTAGCCCAAGTGCCCATCAGTATAAACATTCAGGTAAGTTTGTGAATAAAACAATTGTGATACATTTACACAATGGCCTATTAGTCATAAAAAGAAAAAAAAAGAAGAAAATCTTACCTTTTGTGACAGCATGGATGGACCTGGAGATTATTATGCTAAGTGAAATAAGCCAGTTAGAAAAAGACAAATACATGATTTCACTCATATGTGGAATCTAATGAACAAAATAAATTAACAAACAAAAATGGAAACAGACTGATAGATACAGAGAACAAACTGAAACTGACAGCTGTCAGAGGGGAGGGGGGTTGAGGTCTGGGTGAAAAGGTGAAGGGATTAAGCAAAGGAAAAAACCTCATAGAAACAGACAATATATTGATTACCAGAGGGAAAAGGGTGTGGGGGAGGTAGAAGAGGGTAAAGAGGGAATAAATGGTGATGGAAGGAGACTTTAAAAAAATAAGGTGCCTATACTTATATATAAGGATTTCTGGTACCAAGAATTAACCAATTCTATTATATGACCTATATATTTCTGCGTCAAGACAGGGCATTCACACCAGATGGCTATGGTTGTGTTGGCTGTTGTCATTTTTATTTCACATTCTAAGGGAGAAGAGGTCAGTGCCCATCATTAAATAGTCAGGTATTGCATGGTTTAAAAATTCTTGCAGCACACTGGTTTAAAATTGCTAACTTAGAAGAATCATGTAAACATATAATTACCATGTACTATTTTGAAGAATTGAACTGTGTTCTCCCATAATTCACTCATTGAGTTCCTAACTCCCAATTCCTCAGAATGTGACTGTATTTGGAGATAGGACCTTTAAAAAGGTGATTAAGTTGAAACGAGGCGACCAGGGCAGGCTTTAATCCAATCTGACTGGTGTCCTCGTAAGAAGAGGAATTTTGGATGCACGAGGAGACACCAGGGGCATGTGTGCACAGAAGGATGACCATGTGAAGAAGCCAGGATGTTAATAGTTTCCACATCACAAAATGTATACGTTAATCAGTATAAAGTATATAAACATGCAGGCAAGCTTGTGGAGACGCTGACCAAGATACTTACACTAAGAGACATACACCCATCTAAATTTTCTATTTACTTTTTTTTTTTACAGAATTAGTTAGTAAAGTTGTTTAATGTAGAATTTTTTAATTTGTTATTTTGGAAGTTCTTTATTGTAAAGACAATTCTTTTGTTGATGACTCAGCAGCCACTTTGTCGGTGATAATTCTGGAACCGCACCATGGTGTTCAGGAATGGCACATTTAATGGAATGAACAGGAGGGTTAAAAGCTTGGCTTTCTTATTTGGTGCGTTTCTTTCTTTGAGCTTTCTCCACTGAGATTCACAATCTCTTGATTTCTCCCGTCCATCTCCCGTGCAACTATGGGAGGCAACCTTCCCTAGAAGGTCCCAGGAAAAAGAAACAAAAAATATACCTTAGTCTGATTTTAGCGAGTTCCTTGGCTCTACTCATAGTGTAAGCAGAAGGTGTCCTAGCTCAAGAGGGACCTATATTGTTGTCTTAAGTTTTTATATCTCTGTGCAAACTTACTGGGTGACCAGCGGTTAGTTGAGGGGCTTGGTTGCCGGCTTAATCTCATCTCTACATCACTTGCAAGTATGACTTGAAAGTCCCAAGAAAGAGAGAGACTAATCCTAGTAGAAGGTCATTCTGCTACTGGGTACAGGCTGGTGTGAAAGATGGGAGGACCAACCAAGATGGGAACCAGCAGATGCAGCCAAGACGGATCATGGCCAGGATGAAGGTTGAGGTGGTAGAATGGGAGGGAGGAGCTCATCCCGAAACCACCGTGAACGATTTCCAAATTCCCAGGCTGCTCCTCTGAGAATAGAGAATTGGAAACAGACTCTTGGCAGAGGACGGTGATTGGGAAACTACAATCATCCTCACCAGTTAGTTATATGTCCTACCGCTGCTCCAGCTTGGCAGCGAGCTTTCTGACTCAGTGGAGCAGTGATTGCACATTGAAAAGTTGGCCTCAGCTTGTCCCCTCCGAGGACCCCTGGAACGCTGCAGTTAATCAGCACACTGGTCATCAAGGATCGCTTGACATTTTGAAAATGTGTTTTAGATACCTGGGCAATATGTTGATACACTGATACATTCTTTCCGTGTCCCTACAGAGTGGGAATAAGCCGGGGCCAATGGGATATGTCAGGCACCACCTCCACACATGGAACCGCTTTATTCAGGAGCCAGGGCCAGAGTCCAATGAGTGGTCTCTGTCCTGCTGTCTGACATGGAGGCGGAGGAAACTGGAAATATGAGGAGATCAACTTACGTGGATTCCAAGACTGAAAATCAGGTACGTTGGGAGCCCGAAACCCAGGAGAATGAGAACCAAGTGGCCTAGTGCACAAGGGTAGCCTCCTAGCACCAGAAAGTCATGCTAAAGCCTTTCTCTTTGACCCATTGTCCCCCGAAGGAAGCCTGGAAAGAAAGAAATTGTCCCACTGGGTCAAAGGGCATTATTATCATTAGGAACATTATTAGGGTGGCTAGAGCACAGGGCTTCTTCATGAGACAAATAACACCCTTCCCCTAACAGACACACAACACACACAATCTATGGGCATATTATGACTCTGTGAAATCAAGCCAAAATGGATACAAGTCTTAAAGAGAAAAACAAGTCTTAACAGGAGAGGAAGATAAAAGAATAGGCCCCCTTTACCAATTTTTCCTTGTAACTCGTGAGTAGGGAGCTTCTGTGTGAGTTGAATGAATGTAAGATCATGGGGATTTTTTTTCCAAAGGCAACTGGTGGAGTCCGCCTTTTTCTCGTTCACATGACTTCCTACCAGGATCCATCCTCCCGGTTCCCCATCAACGCCAATGATACCTTCTTATTCCCCACCCACCCAAAGCAACAAAACACAGGAAATGCACGAATACATATTGTCTATAGTTGCTTTTGTGCTAAATCGGCAGAGTTGAGTAGTAACGAGAGAAACCATGCAGGAAAAGTTTGCTGACCACCAGTGCCGATCATACTTCTTCTATTAACATTAGGTTAATTACTTATACTGTGTTGTAGGTAGACTTCATCCGACATGTAAGGGATTGTATATATTTGAGTCTAATATTACTGATTAGATTTCTCATTTTACCCTTTGGTTTCCTCCCTTTGGAGATGTTTCCTTTGCTTCTAGTCATTCCTCCGTGGTCTTTGAAATTTGAAGGCTCCAAGGACTGTAGTTGTAACACACAGGACATAGGCTTCCTCCCTACAGCTTTGCTTGATGCTGTGGAGGGCTTCAACACCCTGTTCTGTCATCCTAAGGAAACAGACAGGCTTGATAACTGGTATCATTGCCTATCTCTGCTCAACCACTAGGGTGGTTACGAGGTATTTAAAGACAGTTTTGTCAAAGGTACTTGGTTATAGTCAAGATCCTGGCTGGATCTTCTGGCTTCACACAGGACTATCCAAATCAAATAGTATAGTAACCAGAAGTCTATTCCTACCAATGATTGTTTAGTACATGGCTGGTCACTCTATGCTTGCAGAACATTGGACAAAGGAAATGAGAACAATTAATGTGGTTTAATTTTAGAAAGCTCAATAATCAGGGTCATGTGCCAATGGGACATGTCGGGCACCACCTGGAACTGTTTACTAAATAGGCTGTAAGGGTCCTTTCCAAGGCCTGAGGAGTCACACAAATGTCTTGACTGTTTAAACCAGCATTTTTCCAAGTGTTCAGTGAGATGTTACGATATATTGGGGAAAATTTTGACTTGAACAAATGAAATCAATTTTCTACTGAGGTGCTACGATCCTTCAGTGTCGGTATTAAATATTTAATAGGAAGACATATTCTACACTGTTTCCAAACTTGTTTGACCATGGAGCCTGTTGACTCAAACTATCTTTACTGAACTCATGTTCTCCAGAATATTCTTTGGCAAACGCTGAGTTAGGCAATCACCTGCCGACTGTAGACTAGATGATTTTTCCAGGTTTCTTTGAATAACGTGATTCTAGGTAAAAAATCCTTCAATCACAGGCCATGATTAGGCCTTCACTAGTTTATTACCTATTATAGGTAGGTGATGGATTTACTTGAGATAAGATATAAAAAAACTATTTAGGTAAGTGAGAAAACTGTTAGGCAATGGAGATAACATTTGATGTGGAGTCAGAAGAGGTAGAAGGTATGACATTTCTGCCACTAATTGGCTGTGCTGTCTTAAGGAAGTTGCATACGTTATGAGTCCCAGGATCTTGACCTATAAAATATGAATAACAATACAGCATTACCTATTTCAAGAGCTGCTGTGGTGATTAAATCATGACACGTATCACATACCCACATATGTATGTGGATGTGGCTATACACTTTATTACCTGTTATAGCTGCGAGGAAACAAATTTCAGGTTTTCAAAAAAGTTAAGACAAAGGATGTGAAAATTTTATTTTAGCTGGTTTTCCTGTAACATTATATTTTTATAAAATAATTTTTATAAAAGAGTTCATCAAGATATTCCATAGAAAATACACACTAAGGTAATATATGTACACTTCATAAAAATAGAATACATCTTGGCAATTGCTTCCAGAGTCTGTTAGCACCATGTACAGTGTATTGACGTTTAACATTTATGCTAATTTAACATATGAGATTTTTCAAGAAAAACAAAGAAAACCCTCCCATTGATACTTTAAAAAATTGTTTCCAATTTGTAGGAAGGTAAAAACAATTCTGGAATGTGAAAATGAAGGAGCTAATGGCAGATTATATCAAAATATATGAACAAAGATCTATGCCATCAACAATCATCTGAGGACAAAGTAATATTTTTTTCTATGATCATAAATGGTTCACTGAAAGTAATATTCTTATTTTGGGTGTTCAAAGTGAGCACCATTTGGGATCATCATAACCTTCTAGAAGCTGTACTATATTTCTAAAACGAGTGGTGTTTCTTTTTTTTCCTTAAAGTGAAAAGAGGTGTCTAAGTCCTATATATAATAAAGTATCAATACTTTTTTTTAAAAAAAAGCATCTTCATAACTTACTTAAGCTTTGCTCAAAAAACATAGCAACTAGTTTTATTACTTTAAAAATGGCCAAATGCTCAAAAATCTACTTGGCTTTGAATTATTATTATAGTTAGTTTATTGTATATTTTTAAGGAAAACGATCTTAGCTACTATGCCACCATAAAACATCACTGATGTGTCCCTGTTCGATGTTCAGAGATAATCTTTGGAAAGTAACTGCTCCAGTGTAATAAATAAAAGAAAAGGATACAGGGCTTTTCTAGACCTTAAGGAAAAGACGTGGCCATGGTGGGATCCTGAAAATACCTCAGCAGTACCAAGGAAGACACACAAAACAGAGCATAGCACCATTTTCAAGTTGCCAAGGTTGCAACCGTTCAGGAGATGGTAACCTGGAAGCGAACGTGATTCCCATGATTAATGCAGTTTAAATATGTGGGTTTGGCTTTGGCGAGCTTCTTAGTACGGATAGGCAGACACGGCTATATACACTATGAATGTGGTCTGATATTCAATGGTCCCATTGGCACTGTAGGATAAGGCTCGGACCCTCATGCGGTAGGTCTCTGGTTCTCGGAGTGGTCGTGTGGTATACACGACTCCTTTCAAGTTTTCAACCCTCAAGGCAAAAGGAACGGTCTGTTCCTCATCTACCATGAGAAACGTTGTCCTGGGATGCATCACTCCATCCTGCGTGTATGCAACCAGCCGGATTAAATCTTGATTGGCAGCTATTCCAAAAGGGAGGGAGACAAGTTTGTATTCCAAGGCATATGGGCTCGAGGCGCATTCCAAATCATTGGGTGGACAGTTCTTGAGGCAGAACCTGAGGACAACAAACACATGAAGTGCATATAGCTTCCTGGCTTGGAGGCAGGAGAAGACATGATGCAGGTGATGCTGATCCATGACAGCTCTCAGGCCTTAAAGGCAGGAGACAGCCTGCCTGCGAGAGCAGAAAGGCTCACCCCACGTTCAGGGTTGCTAACTCAAACCAGATGCCCGATGGCTATGACAGCATGCTGGTCTAGAGTCAAATAGCGATCGCTCAGCTCCATGCAAGTCAGAAGCTTTTGAACCACGGAAGTAAGGATGAGTACCACCAGAGAAACTTCAAAAAGTCAGTTTTGGAAATGGAAGCATCTAGTCTACTGGAAACAGTACTTCTTTTTTTAAAAATATATTTTATTGATTTTTTACAGAGAGGAAGGGAGAGGGATAGAGAGTTAGAAACATCAATGAGAGAGAAACAGCGATCAGCTGCCTCCTGCACACCCCTCACTGGGTATGTGCCCGCAACCAAGGTACATGCCCTTGACCAGAATCGAACCTGGGACCCTTGAGTCTGCAGGCCGATGCTCTATCCACCGAGCCAAACCGGTCAGGGCGAAACAGTACTTCTTAAAGAAGGGAATGCAGGCTTTTAAAAATGTTAACAACTACCATAACACTGTTTGACAGCTGAAGTAGATATTGATAATATTTGGTTTGTTTTTTGAAAAAAATGAAAGGTTAAAGTAGGATTCCTGGGGCGGGGAAACCCTTCCTTTTGTATCTGTCAGCCACATTATTTTAGATGAGAAACTGTACTTTCTTTTTCGCAAGCCCACCTTCGCTGCTTTTGAGTCATTATGACTTTTGAATTGTCTGTCAGAAATCACTGGTAATAAAGAGTAAACTTAAAAAAATGCACAAAAGATCATTTTCTGAAGATATGTATAGATTCCTCAGTCATAGTATTTGTAGACATTTCAGAAGTCTATATTTTTAATTCCTCCTTTTCTTATTCCCCTTAGACCAGTTATGAGGATCCTGGTGGATCCTGGGCAGGCCACACTTGACCTTGTTACAGGAAGTTGGTAGCCACTGCTGATAGGAAAAGCAGAGTTTGAGCTCCAACCAGCATCTGGTTTCAGATCTACCTTCTTTTTTTTCTTTTTAATATATTTTATTGATTTTTTCGGAAAAGCGGAGTTTGAGCTCCGACCAGCATCTGGTTTCAGATCTACCTTCTTACTAGCAGGTCCTATTCATGAGGAGCAATACCTCTGATTTCAAGCACCCCAGTAACTTGGAACCTGAACAGAGTAGAACATTTCTGCACGGAGAGGGAGGATCTACCTTCTTACTAGCAGTTCCTATTCATGAGGAGCATTGCCTCTTATTTCAAGCACCCAGTAACTTGGAACCTGAACAGAGTAGAACATTTCTGCACGGAGAGGGAGTCAATAGAAGAGTAGTTTATTCAGAACCCAGAAAAGACAGCGTTTCAGACAGCAGGAAATGTATGAACGGGCAGACTACTGACTCACACTTGCTCATCTCCATTCTCTCATGAAGTCGCCATGAGTCATCGTAGTTAGAGCCAAGGTACTTCTTGGAACGCTCTAAGTGCTCAGAGACCTCCAAGCTCTGAGGCAACACAAACGGACACTAGAAAACTTCACAGAAGGGCAGACACCCCATAAAATGCTCATGGCTGAGGCAGAATTCTAGATGTTGCATGGCGGATTCCATGCTGGGGAGACGGTTCCAGGAAACCTTGGCGGCCCTGAGGGATAGATTAGGCGCCGTGGGGACCGCAGGATGAGTTCATTTCTTGCCCATTCATTGAAGAAGGAAAACACTGTTACCCCAAGTCCCCTTGGATTATGACTTCCTGTGAGTTCAACACGACTAGAGACAGAGTTTGTGGCCAAGGAGGGAGCGGAAGGGTGTTCAAGAGCACGTCTGGGAAGAGAAGGCAAGACTTACCCTGTGTCAGGATCCCGTTGGTAGTCGGGTGGACAAGGCGTATCGATGCACTGGTAGCTTCCTCTCATGTTGAAGCACATGCGGTTCTGCCCACAGCGCACATTCTGCTCCAGACACTCATCAATATCTAGCAACAGTACAAGGAACATGCAGAGTCAGCAACGCAGTCAGAACCGGCCATCAGAGCGGGGGGTGGACATCTGACTGGCATGTCGAGGGTTAGTCTTCTCCTCCCCATGAATGAACTTGGTTGCTGTACCTAAGCTTCCTCAGTCACCAAGTGGGGATCTTGATACCTGATGTGCTGTTTCCCAGATTGCTTTGCGGATAAGCTTTTGTGTGTTGTTTTTTAAATGTATCTGAGAGGACATAGAAAAAGAAGCACTATAAAAGTAGAGGGGAAGCTATCAAGATCTCTCTGGTGTTGTTTTATCTTGGGGATATAGAGTACATTTGAGTTTTATAAAGCAAATCATACTTTAAATTCACTTAAAAAAAGCTAAAAATTTAAAGGACATTTGTGAACGTTGAGTGAGCCTTCCCCAGTATTTTGTTTTATAAGTTCCAATTGTGCTTCCTGTTACTAGATTTCTCTTAGGACTAGTTTTCCCACAGGAATGGAACACTTGGTGAAACAAGTTTTTATTTCAGTTAAGTCTCGCCTGTTGCCTCTGTGAACCAATTTCTAATTATGATTCTATCTGCCAGACGTGTTTCATCTCCTTGACAAAATGAGATGGCCTCCAAATAGAGAGAAAAGCCCTCCAGGGGAATGCGAGAGAAATTCAATTAGCCTTTTCTTCTTTGCTGTCATAAAACACATTCCTCCATATCTTAGCTGTAATTTTTACAGTGAACTCATGCAGAAACATAGAGGTCTGGAGACCCAAACCTGGACACGCATCTGTGTGCATAAGAACAGCTACCTTATCACATATTTTCATTAGCTAAATATGAATCTATAAAGGAACGTCAGGACCTGATAGACAAAGTGTTTGTCCTTAGCTTCATAATAACGTAACACTTCCCATAGAAAAGCTTTCATAAGCATTCGAGCTCTGGGCAGGGGACTGCCTTCATCTTCTGTCTATATTCTTCTTTCCTCAGGATTAGGCACCATACAGACACCCACTCTACTCTCTCTGCTCATCTTTCTACTCAATGGCCTTAAAAAATGCCAAGAAATAGGAGAAATCGTGCTATCTTCTGTGAATTGACAATGTGGTGATGCTAGTTTTTATTAGGATAAAAATTACAGTCATTTTATAACATAAACATTATTGCTACAAGAAAAAGATACCAAGATGAGGTAAAAAAAAACCTTTTCTATAATTAGCTGTAGACCACATGAATGCATTTAACCAAGTGCTTCTGGATACATTAAATATAATTTAGGATGAACATACTTGAAACATTTATTTTACAGAATTCTGATTCTTAATAAATAGAATGGATGACTTTGAAAACCTGGATAGCTTAGAATGCTCATTTCAAATGCAATACCAATATAGTGTTTTTAAATTTTTAGAATTAGATTAGTGGTGCTTAAAATTCACATAAAGATTAAAAAATATTTTTATTGATTTCAGAGAGGAAGGGAGAGGGAAAGAGAGATAGAAACATCAATGGTGAGAAAGAATCATTGACTGGCTGCCTGCTGCACGCCACACACCGGGGAATGAGCCTAAAACCCAGACATGTGCCCTGACTGGTAATCGAACCATGACCTCCTGGATTCGTAGGTCCAAGCTCAACCATTGAGCAACACCAGTTGGGCAAGATTTTTTTTGTTTCTCTTCTCCTCTTCTTGGGCAAATCATGATTGGGTGTGTTTTGTTTTCATTTTGCAGCCTCATGACTTCTACTTTTCACTAGAGTTTCTATCCTTGTTCAATGTCAAATTCACTCTAGTTTCCCTTTTAGCACTGATATTTCTACCACTAATGCATAAAGCTTCAAAATGCACATGTGAATGAAAAGTAGTCTTTTGTTCCTTGTAAATGCTTCAAACACTTTCGAAAGCTACAAGAAGCCTCCGAGTTAGTCTTTTGAATACAGACTTCTGTAAAGGGCATAATTGTTTTCTCTCGTGTCTTTTTTAAAACCACAATATATGCAACCCATTTAAATTGCAAACATTTCAAATAGCACCTGTTTCTGATTTCTTCACGTTATTCCCACTCTCCGAAGCTCAGCTGAAAGCTGAAAAATGTTTTACACTGAATGAGTGACAAGGGCAGTCAAAAAAATTGGAATAATTAAGAAAAGAAGAAAGTGAGAATATGACACAATATAACCCTTAAAAATCTGGCTGAGGGGCTTTGCAGACCAGTTGGTTATTCAAAATGCTTCCTTCTGTAGTGCCTGGTGCACCTCTAGGGAGTGTGGTTTTAGAGTTGGGCATTGCCACCCCTTCAGAAGGACTCCTGAGTTGAAGATCTGGGGACAAGTTATAAAACAGGGACAATGTAAATGCTCTCACCTCACCCAGCTGCCACAGTACAATAACCCTAATGTTCACTCAATCAAAAGGGAGACAAAGGACTATTCTAGACATGAGATCTGTGATCAAGTCTCCCATAATCACTCTGAGAGTCAGTTTTATTATCTTTAGAATGGGTATAAATGATTGCCCTTGACAAATCTGCACTGCTGATAAAAACGGGATAATAGTTGTTCTTTTGTGGCTGGCTGTCTCCACCAGAATCTAAGATCTTGAAGGAAAGAAACTGCATATTATTATTGATTTCAGAGAGGAAAGGAGAAGGAGAGATAGAAATCAATGATGAGAGAGAATCATTGATCGGCAGCCTCTTGCATGCTCGTACCTGGGGATTGAGCCTGCAACCAGAGCATATGCCCTGACCGATAATTGAACCATGACCTCCTTCCTGGTTCATAGGTCGATGCTTAACTACTGAGCCACGCTGGCCGGGTAGAAATTGCATATGATTCATTTGTTTGAACTTTTTGTTTCCTGCAATGCTAGCACATAATCTGTTCTACATCATCTGTAGACTCAAATAATGAATGGATTATTTCATCAATTTACCCACTGATCTCCAAGCCAAAGTCCAAAATAATGCTTCACACGGAAGTAAATCTACAGAGTGCTCTTCCCACTTCCCCTTCCATCATAGCTGAACTGTTTAGAAAGGTTTGAAGAGGTCTACCCCCATTCAGTTTTAAAAATATATGAGATAAACTGGTTTAGGCATTCTTGGTCCTTCTAGTGAGATAACACCAAAAATGTTTCTCAGCTACATCTTTTGCTCACTTGCTTTCTCATTGCACCGCCTACCGCAAAAGCAATGTTTAAAGATAAGTCGGAACAACAGGGATGAGAAAGAACAGGAAGCAACTAGGAACATAATTTTTCAAGAAAGAAAACATTAACTTTCTCACAGTCTCCTATGTTGGTTTTAAGTGAAGTTGCAGCAACCAACATCCTAACACTGTCTCACCTTGACACGTCTTTCCGTTGAGCATGAGCTGATAGCCAGGTGGGCAGAGACACTGGTAGCTTCCAAAGGTATTTTTACACTCATGTTGGCAGGTGTCTCTGTTTGCACACTCATCCACATCTGGGGGGAAAGAGAGCAGAGTGGGTAACCACGCAAAACACAGGCGAACTGTGACAGAACCAACAATAAACAGGGTGTTGATAGAAATTAGAAAAACCTCTTGGTGATTTAATACTCATGTGTTTAAAAATGCTCAGAGCTGTTTTCTATCAAGGTCTGTTTTCAATAGAGTCCCATATATAAACTGCGCTATTTTATAAAATATGAACATCTGTGTATAAACACATAGAAGCGGAAACACCCAAACGGCCAATTTCTCTATTAGTTAAGTAAGGCTGGAATGGCAGACAAACAGGTTTGAATAAGATCCTAAACCACCAAAGCACGAACTCTTGACAGAATAGAATCCCCTAAAAGAGGATATTAGTTTTTATTGTATTTAAACGTTAGCTGCCTCTCCCTCTTCCTCTCCCTGCACCCTCCCCCAAAGCTCATGCATAGCTTTCCCACACACAGATATTATCAAGTGGAGATGTGTTTATTTTTGTGACTACTCGTCAAACTTCATATACTTGTAAAGTACGAATGGCAACCACGTATTTATACACACACTTTAACAGCTGATTCTATTGTATTTTGAAAATGAAATGTATTTTAATAAACACTGCCTTTATAATTACTCGAAGTGTGTATACATTTTTTGGACACCCTGCATATATATATAATTGCTGTGGTACCTTGTGCAGAGAACTTAACTTCTCAAGATCTCAGATGATTTTTCTGCCAAAAGGAGTCACTGATACAATCTCTCTAGTTTATAGGTTTTGGAAGGTTCATATACAGTAACATATGTGAAAGAATTTTCTAAACTATAAAAATATATCTGTCTGCTGTTATTAAGCAAAGCCAAGAAAACAGCAATAAAAAAGAGAGTAAGAATAGGGGATAATTAAAAATTAATTGATATTTGCCTTCAGGATGAGATGTGATTTGGGAGGCCTCAGATTTCTAGTCCCAATTGTGTTTTGCTTTGAGTAATTTTAAAATTTGCCGCCAATCCCCGAGCACACACCGACCAGTGGAAGAATGAAGAGGAGAATGTGACGTGAATTGGGAGTAGGGGTGATGTCAGATGGAAGAAAACAGAAGGCAGATAGAAACTTTGAAATGTCTCAAAGCAAAATTTGCATATTTTGCATATTGTGCAAATCAGAATATAATTGCAATGATTCAAGATCTGTTAATGATAAATAGTCATCAAATATTGGTCAATGTTTTTGTTCTATTTTAGTTAACCAAAGCATCTGTTCCAGAACTTGTGTGATTTGCTTTTACTTTTTCCCTTTATAATCTGCTTTCGCCTAAAGTAACAACAGAAATGAAAGTGATGGTGAACTCCACATAGTCAATATCACAGGTCCCACAGTAAGAATTCTAGTGATTTCTGTATCCAGAAGCTCTGCAATGTTCCTTTTTCCTGTGAAGCTTTGGAATCAATTCCTCGAAAAGTTAAATTTTAGCCCAAGTCTAATGATTCCATAATGTTAATCTGAATCTTTTGTGAATTATCTATTCCAGATGGTTAATTAAAGGCATTTGGTGTTTACTGCAAGTTGCTCATCTCGTAATTCCAAAGCTGTCTGCAATCTTGCTGTAAATTTCCTTATTAACACCAACACTATAAAATACTCACCATATTTTAAGAACTATTTCTAAATGTCCCCGTCTATTAATTGCCCTTAAATAAAACTTAAATATCCAATAACTGACTCGTTATAGAAAGTTTAGGTACTCCAAGATCAGTCCTCATTCTGAAACAGTAGCTGCCTCAAACAGTAGATGGTATGGGAAAGATGAATTACTGTAAACATAATATTAGTTTACATAAGGTTATAATAAACACCATGACACAGAAAACATATATAAGACTCTACCATGATGAAACTACAGGGCACAGAAAGAGAACTGGGTTATTAATGAGGAACACTTTCTTAAAATGACTTGGGCTTTCACATGATTGAGAAGTCAGCTAGACGGCGATGGTATGTGTATAGGAGGATAGTTTAATTCATTTATCAAAGCATAAACAAAGAGTTGGGGTAGAAGAACAAAGGTAGAAGAGAAAAACTTGTCTAAAATGAAGGCGAAGTATGGGATGATAATAGGATATGAAAACCCTTCAGTGAGATTATCTGGAAGAAAATGTGAAAGACAACATGTCAGATGCTAATTCTGTCAATAAAAGAATAGTGAAAAGTTTTAACTAACGAAGAGTCTGTTCAAAACTGTGGGCATGAAAAATTCTTAATGGTCAGAAAGATTTGGAGCAAGTTAGGAGTGGTGTTTGACATAGTAGTAAGGATTGTGGAGCCCACAGATTAAGTAGTGCTCCACTGTATGGGACGAAATGTAGAGAGTTGTTAATAAATGCATTAATATTTGAAGTTTAAGGAGTGAAAGAAACTAGTCCTGTCCACAGACCTAGGAAGCTGATCACAGGAAAAAGATTCCGTATCCTATTAAGCTTCAGGTACATTAGGACATCTAGACAGAGAAGTCCTGGGAAAATATGGACCTAAAGAAAAAAGGTGAAAGTTTAGAAGTTTGAGGGTCCAGCTGAGTACAAGTAGAAAAAAAAAAGACAAAACTGGAAGTCAGCAGGAGAAGAAGTTTAAGAGAAATGTTTAACAGAAAGCATATTTAGGAGAGAATAAGCGAAGTGTAGAACACTTAAGAAAAATACAAGAACATACGATTGGCATAGCGGTCTCTTATATTTAAACAAAGGTTCTTAAACTTAAACAGAATTTCTTCCCTCCCTTCTTGCCTCTGTCTTCCCTCTCTACTTTGCTTTCTTGAACAAATAGTGGGGCTAATTCCTGTTTGCCAACTCCTCTTGGTGCATGCAAACTGTGAACTCTCACAGAAAACTCATTTAAATGAAGGACAGATGGTCATACTTGCAACTTCACAGAAAACAAGGTTTCAATTTTTGAGATGGAAATTATGCTTCCCTTTTGCAAACAAATTAAAATTCAGACTTGTGAGTTTAGATAAAGACATTGAAAGCACATACTTTCGGGTGATGGAACCAATTTAATTTGGTCTTGGCTCCCATGACCTATTCAGTGACTTATATACAAAATAATCAAACTGAAAAACTCTATGGCGAGTGTGGGACAACAGTCAACACTGTGCTGGTTGTCATATAGAATAAACAGTCCAATGAGCCACTGGAAGCTTCACTTTTAACCACTGCTTTGACATCCATCAGCTGCAGCCATAATTATGGTATTATATTATGGGACAGTATGTATATTCTCTTTTTTAGGGTAAAAGGTGAAAGATTTATGCGGTCTGAAGAGAAACCAGAGTATATATTCTCTTTTTTAGAAACCATATTTTGGATGCCACTGACATTGATTTCTATACAGCATTAAATTCAGGAACACCTGCAGGTGACCAAAGAACTGTCAATATAAAACAGTAAATTATTAGACTGCACACATGCAAACACATCATTTACTTGAATAAAAACTGCAATAGTTTTCGGTGCTAGAGTAAATGTCTTGACACTTTGAGTCCTCCCAAGATTGGAGATCAGATGTAGCTCCCTGCACCCACACGAACACGGGTGCTGTATGTACATATGCGTAGACGGGCCCATCAGAGAGCCCACAGAAAGGACATGCAAGAGGGCTGACATTTACCTACACATGTGTCATGGTTTGCCTCAGAGCCTTCAGGGCAAGTTTTCCTAATAGTCCTTCTAGTCCTGGAGAGAGATGTTCTGCTGTTCCTATACTCTGAGTAGGAGCTGTAGAGATGGGAGTACTGTCTGTAATGCTGTTGAGGTTGATAGTTGTTTCTCACGGGGGAGAACCGAGCAAGGTTATAGCTATTGTACTGAGAGCCATAAGCGGGCAGCCTCTCCAATCCAGCGCAAGATTTCCCGTCCCCTAATAAATGTTGTCCTGGTGGACAGACACACTTGAAGCTGCCGGGGGTGTTGAAGCACTGATATGCACAAGGCTTAGGCATTTGTTCACACTCATTAATGTCTGCTCGTGTGCCACGATACATAAAAAGAGAGAGAGAGAGAAAAAAAAACAACAGACACATACACAAAACACAGGAATAAAGAATCAGTCTGTAAAACGAACTGAAGACATTATGTCACCCTCCAAAGTCAGGCATTCAGTCATCTCTCAGCTGTTGTGGACTTTTGAGAAAGCTGGAACCATTCAGTTACGAATATACAGGAAGATTTTATGACTGTCCCTAAAGATTGCTTCACATGTACAGTAGAAACATAATGGGTCATATGGACAAATGTGGTCTAGAATCCGGAAAAACTAAAGTTCAAAGCTAATATAGATCTTAATTCTGTTGGTGGAACAGTCACTTTACTAATTTGCATTTAATTATAGTATTGACCACTAGTGTCTCTAAGTTTTCATGCATTCATAAGACTCAGATACAGGAAGGTTGGTACAACTACAAACATTTTTATTTTCTTTTGTATCTTTTGAATCAATAATTATTAATCAAACCAATTATACATTTTACAAGAAAATGAAAAAGAAGGACATGAAGATAGAATAATTTCTTAATAAGATATAAACTCATAAAGTCCATAAAATTAAAAAATGCTTCTCTTCTTCCTATTCCTAGGTCAACACAGAGTATTACTTGCAATTTTTTCTGTCAATTGGATAACTGTATAAAAACCAGAGATCAAAACCAAATTCTTTAATTCATTACCACATGAAGAAAAACATGAATTAAGTAAAATAAGTAGTAAATTTTGCTTTAAAAATTATTTTAGCAGGCAAAAGTTTAAATTAACATTTTTAATCTCTTTAAGGCAATGGCCCTACCTTCTTCATTGTCTTATTGACAAATGCCTGATATTCAACTTCTGGTCAAATTAGTGAACAAGTAAACACATTTCATTCTGCTAGGTCACTGTTATGACTGATCAAGATTTAAATTATGTATAAGTTACAACATCTAAAGAGAACACAGAAATAGTATGTATTTCTGTTATTAAAAAGTATTAGTATTTATTTATTCTAGTAATGGTATTACTTTGAGCATTTGCTATGTGCAAAGTACTATGTTAGGTATGGTATAAAGACAGAACTCAATCTTTATGGGAGAATTTGCTATAAATAACTGTTAAGTAGGCAACCAAGGCAACCAATTTTAAAAGCATAGCATGCAAACCAGAAGCCAGTATTTAAAAGCCCGCACGTTTTTTGCTGCACTTAAATATTCTGAGGATAAATAGAATTTGATAGGTCAGTTTCTTTATTATAAATGCACTAATTTAATAAAAAGCATATGATTATCTTTTCACAGATATTTCGTATTATCTGTTACTTGCCTTACTTTATATTCAATTATAACTAAGATGGAAACAAATAGGCAATTGGGAGAATTAAATGAGATATTCTTAATGTAGGGAATGCCATACAGTAAGCGCTAAATATATGGCAAATAAAATAATAATGACCAATGTGCTTAAATTGTGTGTTCACATTTTAATGCCTCATACCTAAACCTTGATATTACATACAC